AGTGTTCTGACCAATTGACTTCATATTGTTAGACAATTGTACAATTAATGTCTTCAAACATTATTTCGTCATTGGATCAAGCTTACATATAAAACAACAAAATGAGCTTCTGTTAAAAAGAGCTGTGAAATTCCGACATGATATTTGTAAAACTTGTGGACGGAAGTCCAATAGACTAAATTACCTATGTGCTAAAAAGATATGTATCACAAAAGAAAAGCAGATTTTGTTGCCATTTTTTCCATCATTCAAATCATATTGTAAGATTTTCTGAGAACCTGTCTACAAAGGGTTTAGTAGCCGAATATCTATGAATTATATACATGTATATCTACTGCTGTAAATTAATTAATTTTCTTTTCCCACAGATAAAGGATTTCTGCTGTATTATAAATTCATAATGGCATTTTGACATAGACAAAATGTAATATGACAAACGGACTTAACAAGATCAGTATCCATAGAATAATTACTGAAAGACTTAGGGTGGGTTACATTATCCGACGTAAGGAATAATTGATATATAAATATCAAATGAAGGGGTCAGTGCAAGGTGGTACCTTACGTAATTTAACATTATCTTGAGAAAAGGGGCATTTTATGAAATTTTAGATTTAATTGACATATTTTGAAATTAATTCACTAATAAGTAATGTTATAAATAAAAAAACATTTGAAACCAAAGTTGTATGTTTTACACCATTTTTAACCATTTTATTTACAGAAAAGTTATATTTATCAAATGTGCTTATGCAAAAAGGGTTTTAAATCCTATGGACCATTGTGACTTTGAAACAATTGCATAAAGTATTTGAGCTTAAAATTTAAATATCGTTCAACTTTTCAAAGTAGTGGTGACATATAAGGATCACTTCTCCGTGGTTTGTCTGTTCGTGCAAAACAAATGGTAGACTAGGAAAACAATAGGTATTGGTACATTTTCTTCGCCTCAACTAAAAGGTTATCATATAACTCTTAATGTATTTGCAGATTATTATTCAGCTTAAAAAAAACTAAAGGCGTATCAAACAAATCATCAATTGTATAGTTTGCATTTGTTACACATTTTTCAGTTGATAAATTGATGAATATTTGATTGATTGATTGAAAAATTAATTTATTGATTTATTGACTGACTACAGGAAACAAAAGAAATATGAGTTTTAAACATATATTCTTCATAGAAAGAAACAAAACTTTAACATTCAAATAGAAATAGAAAGTTTTGTTTTCAATAATTCAAAATATATAGTTCATGTGCTACCTGCAAACACGGATAACTTCAAAAACATTGCGTATAGGAACTGGAACATACATAGTTTCATTAGACTGCATCAAAAAAACCAAAGTTACAAATATTATAAAATACATAAGTTTTAGCTGTAAAGTTTCAATAACTCAGAATATGGATACATTCATCAAACAAAAGGTACCAGAACATGCCCATGTCGCTAAAATGTAAAATATTTATACAATTAACAATAACTACCTAAAACATCCTAAATGCTCAATTTTTTTGTTATTTCATATTAAACAATAAATTTTATGCTGATATGCATGTATAGAAATTAGAAAATCTCTAAACAATACCTTTAAGACTTCAATGTCTTCATGCAAAATGTTTAAAAGGGATAAATATGGTGCATTTGCAACAAAGGTTCTATCTCCATGAACACAACATTCACATAATAATTTTTGTAATATTTTTCACACAAATGAACATTTTCTGCAAATTATTTTGACAAGACGTAGATAAAAATATTGTTACTGTAAATTTTCTTGTTCATATTGACATACACTTAAAATATAATTACATTTTCATATATTTTTTTTCGCCTCAAAACAAGAAAACATGGATAAATTAATGTAACAAAGGTACCAACTCCACCTCTGGAGTTAGGACTTTTATTAAGTTCCTCCAAGAACCATTTTCACCTTAAAACAAAGAAGTGATTAATAAAGGGAGGTTATTCTAATTCCAAAAACGTTCTTTAAATCACAAAGGTCCTAACTTAATTTTTACTCTACATTGGAGTTAGGTACCTTCTTGCACTGACCCCTTCAACTATATAAATATAGGCGCGGAGATTTACCTTGTTATCTGTCTCAACTCTTTCTTAATACTATGAAAGAAGATAAAATTTGAAAATAACTATTCAGAGAAGTCACGCCGGCTTGAAATCTATGCTAAATCTATGACACTTTCATCCATTACACTTTTTATAATTTGGACACTTACCGTATGGAAATAAACTAAAATAAAAATTAAACCGCTCTTATATAGTTCCCTTCGTCATTAGGGGGAAGTTAAGAAGAAATGACAAATGGTATTATAATAATAACGAAATTGAAATAGTCAAGTCTTTTAATTACCTAGGGATTGTATTCTCCAGTGGAGGGTCTTTTATGCAAGCAGCAAACACATTAGCCGGGAAAGGGTTGCGATCTCTACATTCTTTGTGGGCTATTGTTCGTAGTATGAAAGTTCCAATAAATATATTGTTTAATCTCTTTGATTCGTATGTACTTTCTGTTTTAAATTATGGTGCAGAGGTATGGGGTTGTATAAATTCAGAGGTAATAGAAAGAGCACATAATAATTTTGTAAATGGATACTGTTACGTTGTATGGATGATAACAAGATTCAAACTATTCTACTATTTTATTATAACCAATTAATACATTTTGTTAAGACCAGAGCTCAAGTGAGAATGACTAGGTATCAGAGAGGCATGATCATATATATATAACATAGCATTAATGAATATCAAGTAAAGGGAAGTAATCCCATTAACTATACAACTAAACATGTAAAGAGTTATCTAATCTTGATATCATAACATCTCCCTTTGTTTGAAATTGAGAAGCTCATAAACATTTGTCCGCTGTAAATGTCAATTTATTCTGAGAAAGCATTAAGCAATAAAATAATGTCCATGTCAAGACTGACATCAATTAATGAATTTGAGATAAACACATTTAATTATTATGATAAATTTGTCCTAGAAAATGCTTTCATACTGTCAATATAAACTTTGTACTTTTTCTGTTAAAAGCACCATAAACACTACTGCAATTTATGCCTATTTGTTCAATGTGTATATATACACTTATTTTACACCGACTGAATTATCTTTGGTTTAACCTGCCTCCCAGAACGAGTTACATAAGCTTCCGGATAAATGTTTGGCAGTTTGAGAGTATTTGTTGATGCAGGCGACTTTGAGTGATTAAAGGTCAGATTATCACTCTTGACACTGGCATGCTGTGAGGTTAACTGGTGTGAAAGTTTACCCTTGGAATCTGCTATGTCTTGATTACTAAAAATGGCCTGTGTAAATTGATCGTTATCAGTGTTCAATGGTTGGTCATTATCTTGGCAGGTATAATCCTTCATTAGATGTTGCCTGTTTCTGATATATTGACCACCATCAGGTGTTTCTACTGAATAGGAGCGATTGTCTAACTTTTCTTCAATGACAGCGGGATTCCAAGATTTTCCCTGCTGAATTCTAACATTTTATCCTATGTTAAATGGTTTAAGAGGCCTTGTTGCTGGGTCATATAGGGGTTGCGTTCATTGAACGCCGCCTTTCCTTGTTGATCTTGTTTATCATATTGAATGTTTATCATAATATTTCTTTTAAATGCACTTTTGTTTTTCAAGAAATGCCTTTATTCTCTTAAAATATCTTGTTTTGGGTGTTATGTTCTTTCAGACATAGATAAAAATGTCCTTATTTTTCTTCCCATTAAGATTTCAGTGAGAGGATAACCTATGCTTAGCGACGTAGCACGTAATTCTAAAATTGCTATCAAAGGGTCTGTTCCATCTTGCTTGCATTTTTTAAGCAATGTTTTTATTTTCTTCAAGCATGATTCACTAAGGCCATTACTTTGGGGATATTGAGGTGATGATCTTACATGCTTTTTGTCCAATTTAGTCGTGAATTCTTTAAATTCTTGTGATGTGTAATAACTAGCACCATCTGAAACTATTTTCTGGGGAATACCATGTCTTGAAAACCAAGTTCTCATTAACTTAATAATAGTGCTACTCTTTGTATTTTTAATCATGTCGACTTCAAAATAGTTGCTCATGTAGTCGCATACTAACAAGTAGTCTTGGTTATCTAATGTAAATACATCAGTACCTAGTACCTGCCATGGGTACTTAGGGATTTCATGTGAAACCAAGGGTTCCTTTGAATTTGACCTTTGATGCTCTGCACATACAGAAAACTTTCGCACTGTCTGCACTATGTCTTTGCTAATGTTAGGCCAAAACATAGAATTTTGTGCCCTGCGGAAGCTACGTTCCTGACCTGGGTGACCTTTATGTAGCAAATTTAACATTTCAGATCTTAGACACTTAGGAATAATCAATCTTTGACCTTTGTAGATGATATTATCTACAACAGTGAGTTCATCTCTATAATTCCAGTATTCTAGAACTTGAGAATTGCAATCTTTGCGTTTTTCAGGCCAGCCTTGAAGAATGATTTGTTTCAAGGTCATGAGTGTTGGATCTGACTCAGTTTTTGACCTTACTTCACTAAGTTTTTGATCTGTGTATGGCAAGTTTTTTGTTATGAAGTGAACATGCATATTGGTATTTTCGGAAATTTCTGGATAAGTATCTGGCAAATATTTCCGAGACAATGTGTCAGCAACGGGTATTTGAGTGCCTGCTTTGTGCTGCAACTCAAAATCATAACCATGTAACGCTAATAAGAGCCTTTGTAATCTTGCCGGGGCACTGTATAGGGATTTTTTAACAACACTGATCAAGGGTAAATGATCTGTTTCTACAGTTATGTGCCTACCGTAAATATATTGTCTGAACTTTGTCATGCCAAATACTATGGCAAGAAGTTCTTTCTCAATCATGGCCCATGACCTTTCTGAGTTGGTCAAGGATTTGCTTGCAAAGGCTATAGGTTTTCCATCTTGCATTAAAGTAGAAGCACAGCCATGCTGAGAACTATCAGACTGAAGTACTAGTGCCTTATTTGGATCAAAATAAGATAACACTGGGCTGGGCACTCAGTAAGTATGTCTTTGACTTTCTGAAATGCTCGAACTTGAGGAGCATCCCAGTGAAAAATGACATCTTTCTTTAATATTTCTGAGAGTGGATGAATGATCTCGGACAAGTTTGGGGCATATCTAGATAGATAAGTTATCATGCCAAGTATTGTCTTAAGCTCAGACTTGTCTTTAGGCGCTTCCATCTCTTGGATAGCCCTACATTTTTCGGGGTCTGGTTTCAATCCATCAGCTGAGAGGATGTGACCAAAATACTTAACCTCCGAGACGCAAACAACAAGTTTGTCTTCGTTTAACCTAATGCCCTTTAGGCGGCACCTATCAAGTAAGTTTCTTAAATTCATGTCATGCTCTTCCCGAGTTGAACCATAAACAAGAATGTCATCTACAATGACACTACAACCAAGTAAGCCTTCTAAGCACTCATCCATCTTTTGCTGGAAAAGATCTTGGCTGCATTTCAGTCCCATGGGACATCTTAGATACCTATAACGACCTTGAGGGGTGTTGAATGTTGTTAGATATGATGATTTATCATCTAAAACAACGGACCAGTAACCTGATTTGCAGTCAAGTTTTGTGAAATATTTTGCAGATTTTAACTGCGGCAAAATATCATCTAAGGTTTTTGTAGGATAATGTGGCCTATGGATTGCCTTATTAAGGTCTTTAGGGTCAATTACAGTTCTAACTTTATCAGAATGTGGCTTATTGACTACGACCATACTATTCACCCAATTTGTTGGTGCGGTGACCTTGGCTATGATCCCAGCTTTTTCCATAGCATCAAGTTCCTTTTTAACCTTGCTCTGAAGAGCTACAGGAACGCGTCGGGGAGGATGAATTACTGGGGAATACCTGGGATCTACTTTGATCGAACAAGCACCAGGTAATTTTCCAAAGCCATGAAAAACTTCACGAAAGTCACGCAAGACAGAATTTTTATTCATTTGCTCATTTTGGTCTACGGACATTACAATCTGAATCAAATTGAAGTCAAGGCATGATTGTAAACCTAGGATTGAGGGTTTGTTTGTTCTCACAACATAAAATTCTACAAGTTTTGTGCATTTCTTCTTGTAGCTGCATGAGAGATCTACTACTCCTAGAACCTTAATTTCAGTGCCTGAGTAAGCAGTGAGTTTGACAGTTGGCTTTTTTAAGGGGGTATTGACCTTGAGGGATTTGAAATCTGCCTCAGAAAGGATGTTACAGCATGCCCCTGTGTCAAGTTTAAACTGTTTAAAATGACCTTTAGAGCCCACCTGTAAATCAACAAATACCTGTCCTTTTGAATGTGAATCAACTGCACCAATACAAAATTCACTGTCACTGTTACTGTCACTGTTATTGTTTCCGGTTTCGATTTCATGCACTTTTTTGTTTGACCTACACACAACTGCATAGTGATTCCATTTGTGGCAGTTCTTGCACTGTTTTCCTCTAGCCGGACATCGATCTTTGCTGTGATGTGACTGTCCACAATTTCCACATTTTGTTATCTGTTGGTTTTGTCTAACTCTTGAATGGTGATTGTACATGTGTTTCTTTCCAGCCTCGTTTGGGTGTTTTGACGTGGAATGTCGTTTGTGATTAATGTCATCGATGTTTTTGGAATTAGTCATATCACGTAGTTGAGCCTGTGCGTATTCATGTGACTGTGATATCCTGACTGCTTTTTCAAGAGTCAATGCTTCGCCTTCCGTGATTAGTTTTTCACGAACTTTTTCCGACGTAATCCCAATGACTATTTAATCTCGGATGACATCATCTCTGTACCCTGCATGAAAAGGGCAATCATTTGCAAGTGTTTTTAGACGCGTGATAAATTGTTCTATCGTACTGTTTCCCTGTTTTTCATTGTGGAATTTGTATCTGCTAAATACAGGATTTGATTTTGGTTGTAGAAATTTTTGAATTGCATCTGAAATTGCCTTTATTGATTTTCTTTGGAGCTCAGTTAATGTCAGAGTATTATATATCTGGCGGCCTCTATCACCAATCCAAAGTAATAAGTAAGTTACTTGTACTTCTTCTTCTTTTTCTCTTAACGCGCCACTAAATATAAGTTCTGCATGCTGCCTGAACTTTTTGAACTCCTCCATAGGGTTCTGACTGTCCCAGTTCATTGTTGGTATGGGTACACCATTTAAATCCATTGTATAGCTGTAGAATTAATTGATTCCTCTAAAGAAAGTTAAATGTTTGTGATGCGCACAATTTAATTTCTTTCCAGAATGCTTGTTAAATCCGATTCCAAATATTTTTTTATTAAATTCCTTTTATTACAATATTATTCCTTTAGTTTACTTCTGACACCATGTTATGTTGTATGGATGATAACAAGATTCAAACTATATTTTACTATTTTATTATAACCATTTAATACATGTTGTTAAGACCAGAGCTCAGGTATCAGAGAGGCATGATCATATATATATAACATAGCATTAATGAATATCAAGTAAAGGGAAGTAATCCCATTAACTATACAACTAAACATGTAAAGAGTTATCTAATCTTGATATCATAACAGGCAATCTACACATACTCTAGCTCTTTATAGTGAGTTAGGTAGATTTCCACTCTATATAGAAAGACATGTTAAAATGGTTAAATATTTTCTGATGATTAATACCGTCAAGTCTGAAAATTGCATACTTAAAAGTCTAGAGCTAAACGAATCAATAAAAAATTGGGTCTCATCTATACGCGATATCCTTCAGTCTTCTGGTCAAAGTGAAGTCTGGTTATATCCAGAATCCGTTAAAATAAATGTATTTGTTCCGGTCTTACGTTGTAGGCTTAGAGAATATACATAAGTAATTGGAGAACGGGGTTGCAGATGTCAAGTTCCTTAAATATTTTCCGGGAGATAAAAGATACATTTGAGCAGTCAAATTATATCAGACTATTAGAAAATACAAAATTTAGAAACACACTGGCTAAATTACGTCTCTCTTCACATAAACTTAACATTGAAGTCGGCCGACACTACAATATTGCGCGCGATGAACGTAAATGTACACTATGTAATTTAAACGACCTAGAGGACAAATTTCACTTTGTTTTAAAATGTACAGCTTATGTCGAATTAAGAAGGTTATATATACCCAGATATTATTATACCCACACAAATATAATTAAGTATATATCATTAATGCAATGTAGTAATAAGAAGATCTTAAAAATTTTGACTCTTTATTGTTTTAAAGCTTTCAAATTAAGGGATTCACTATTGTAATAATATAAATGTCGTTCTCAATCTGAAATAATTCCTTTTTTTTTGTTAATTTTTTATTTCATGGTACTTTTGAGTATATATAAATATATTTCTTCCTTTGTTACATTTTCACGATATATGTGTTTAAGGAAATAATAATTCATGAATTATATGTAAAATCTTCCATGTCATACCAATATATATATATATGTTCTTTTTTCATTGTTAACAACGATGGGCTTGTAAGTCTTAAGTCAAATAAAATATTTGTTCTGTTCTGTTCTGTTCTGTCATTTTTATTGACAGTTCATATTATACAAATATGGACTTTTTAGCTGTTGAATATGATGTGATATGTACTGAAAAAATTAATAACGCCTCGGTCAATATTAATTTTTCAGTACATATCACATCATATTCAACAGCTAAAAAGTACATATCTGTTTTATTATATAATCTTTAAATAGCTTTTATATGGCTTATCACATCTATAATTGCATACGACGGAAATCATTGTTTTTTAGGTTGTCTACTGTTTCCATAATTTGACCCTTTCCATTGGCATGCTAATCGCTATTTTTCTTAAAAATGAAAAACGGTAACTTAAATAGACTAATTTGACTCGTATGTACACCCAACTCAACGTTTCCTCAGAATAATAACGACAAACTTGGCGTGACGTCACGTCAAAGTCTCGCGTCTTTTAGGGATTTCCAGAAAATCTATTCTTAGAAGAAAATCCGGTGAATATACTCTGAAAATCTATTTTTAGGAAAAAACAGTGAATATACTCTGATATTGACCTGTTATTTTTTACAAAAAAGTTGCTTGTTAGCCAATCAGGGAAAGGCATTTCAAAGCTATTTATAGATTATATCATAAAATAGTTTATAAAAGTAGTTACATAAAATCTGACATACGTGATGATAAATATATGACTGTGGATATATTATATATAAAAGAGGACAGAGAACATTAGGTTTAAAACGTCCTCTTTTTGTCAAAACCGTAAACCATTTTTTAATAATACCTACCATATCATCCAAGAAGAAATTGCAAGTTGGATATAAAAAGTTGATAATTTTATCATTTTTGTTACAAAACATATAAAGAATACTATTAACGTTAATGAGTAATTTATGTTAAATATAATATGTTAATTATATTAAAAATGAGATACACGGACGACAAATTTTATCGCAGGCTCGTTTTGATTGAGCCTGTTCTTTGAAAGAAGCCCCGACAGACTAGACACAGCGTAAAAATCATTATCAAATTAATTATTTTAATAATACCCATGCACCCATCTCATCCAAGAAGAAATTGCAAGTTGGATATCAAAGGTTGATAATTTTATCATTTTTGTCAAAAACATAAAGAATACTAGTAATAAATATTAAATTCAATATGATTTAATAATATTAAAAATGAGATACACGGGCGGCAAATTTTAAATTTTGATCGAGTCTGTTCTTGGATGCAAGATTTCGTGAAGTCCCCAAAGAAAAAAACAGATCCTGGAAATTATTCATTTTTTATTACAGACGTTCTTCTTTACACCAACTTATCATTGATATAATAATCGTCTTTAACATGTTCAAATTAACCTGTTTATATAAGATAATATTTGTAACTTTTTTGACATTATATTGCACTTCTTAGATTTATTTGATGTTCAGGAAGAACTAAGCATTTATCATCTACTAATAATCTAAGGATACAGTACATATTGCAATGATAGAGTAGTGCATGTCATGCCATTAGGGCAAATACTGCTGCTTACAAGTTTTTAAAATATTTGTCAGGGAATAATGTATAACAATTTGCTGCCCCCTCAAGACATGTCCATGTGTATATGTTTCAACAGTTTTCTTACTTACTATATAGGATTATTTTATGGTAAAAAAAGATTGAATATGTAAACACAATAAATACATACAAAACAAACAACACGAATGGCATCGTTTTAGTGTCGTGACCTCTTTACCTTTTTCTCAGAAACTTTAATTGAATTGATACAAATTTGGATTTTTTTCTGCACAAGTTATTGTTAACAGTTTCTGCACAAGTAAAATTCAGTTTACTTTTAGATAGTAAGTAAGTAAGTAAGTAAGTAACGACTTTATTTAATGAGGCTAACACATTCAGTTTCCCGATCTTCCATGCGGGCCTCAATAGATAATTAGAAGCTTACAGATACATTTAAGTTAAAACTCAATATAAAAATGACTAGCTGTTGTATAATTCGACATTTTAGAGTTAGAAATTATCTAGACATATATGTGTCACGGTATTAAACTGTTCAATAATTAAGGGAAATAGTGTCTAAGCGGCCAAATAGCCTAGTCGGTAGGGCCACTGTACGGTATTCAATAGGTCACAAGTTAAACTTCAACATTATTTCAGCCTGTAATAAATTTAAGGATACTCATTACGGCATTGTATGCTTCGTCAAAGTCGAGCAATGTCTGGATTAATCTTTATTTTCATATATCAGCAGATATAGAAGATGAAAAGTCAACTTCACAATGACAAATTGTGTTAACTTGTATATGACAAATACTAAGGGCAATATGATATATTTTGAGTAAGCAGTGTCGTATAGTCTCAAGATAATAATGATAATGATAATAATATCTTTTTTTTAAAGTTTACATAGAAATTATAGTTTAACAAAAATGCTTTTTCACACGGCTTTCAAATTATTATATCACAATCATAACAACGATAATAACAAAAGAGATATTAAATAAAAAGTACAAATAATCACAAGCAAGTTTATAATATAAGTCTATTAATCGATTACATTTGTATCTGGTTTATATTTTTCCACAAATAAATTGTACTAGGGTAATCGTTGATACTTATTAATTATACGACAGAAACGTATGCTTATTAATAATGATAAAATTACACCGAAGCTTATAGTCATGTAATTGACAAAGTATGTGTTGTACCTTTTGGCTACAGTTACACTTATTCAATCCATCTTAGAAACTGGTTAAATGTTTTATTCATATAGACAAGTCACTTAGGACACGTTCCACAGCTTGCTAAAACACCCGTTGGTGTAAGAAGAATTCTAAAACATTGAAAAATAACTTCATCGTTCTCAAGCCATATTCCAATTCATTTATTTTGTTATTACTTTACAAACATTTAAAATAAACATGATTCAACTATTTACTGCAAACGTATTGTACATGCATATATTCATGCCGTCGGCGATGATAAAGTATATCAACACATTTCAATTCTGTTAAAAACATTATAAAAGAAAATCAACAATCGTATTTTTTATTTGTCCAGTAGCTATTTCTTTGCATTCGACAACTATTTCGGTGCCACCGAATATCATCTTTACTTGAACTTTTCTCCCAATTCCGCTTCCGGACATGGGAATGGTAAGTTTTCCAATTTGTTCGGACCCTGGTTCGTCAACATATTTCGGATCAGATTTCAGTGTGGCAAAAATTCTAAATTCCATCCCTTGTGATAAATGTGACACCGGATTATATATTTCTTTAGATTGATACTCGCCAACAATTAATGCTTGACCTGCATGAACATGAACAGAAAATATATCTGAGCAGTACGTTTTACCATCGATAGTTATTTTCTTTTCCGGAGGATGAAGATAAGAATCAAATCTTTCCACCATATCAACACCGTAAGTGTATTTGCTGACTCTCTCAGAGATCATGGAGGGACTGTGACCAAAAATTACTGCCCCTTTCAATACCGCAAGTCCGGCTTCGCTCGGGACAATCACGCCGAGTTCAGGAAAATTACTTTTTACTGCTTCGTGTAACATGTTAGACTCGGAAAATCCACCGACCATGAGGATTGCATCTACTCCGTCAGTTACAGGTTCCTTTAACAACGTTTTAACATGCTCGACCGTTTTAGTAATCGATGTGTCAAAAAAGCTTTTAGCAAGACTTGGTTCTATTCGAAGTTTATCTGCTACCAATTTAAGCTACGAAAGAAACAAATATTCATTATTGTGTTGGTTGAAGAATTATTCGTTTTATACATTGATGTATCATTGAAAAGGTATATACACAGTGGTATTCAACTGTTCAGTTCTTGACTCAAGCTTAAATAAAATTTCTAACTTATAAATATTTCATTTTTAATTAAGACAAAACAAATAATCTTTTTACAAACTTACTCCGATTTTACCAGATTTTCCACTTAAATAGATGTATACTTGTGTTCTTGTTCAAAAATCCAATTCAGAATACTAATTAATTTCTTTTACATGAATAATGCAATATATTTAATTATTAATTTATCAAAAAAATATCATTAACATGTGATATTAATGGTTTGGCTTTGGGTACCCGACGATGAAATGCCATTGTCCTTAACCAGAATGATAAGTTACAGGTTGCAAAATTGACCATCAACATATTTGAATATTAAACTGTCTGACATTATTTTAAACACCATTATTTTAAAAACAAATATATGGAGCAGCTGCTAGCAAGTGTAATTTAGCTCCGCATGCATTTCATTATTTTTGTAATTACCTGTTTAGAATAAATTGAATCATCAATCAATTTTTGCAGTGATTTACACCTCAGTTCTTCGATGAGTTGTATAAACTTGTACGGAATTTTAAGACGTACTTTCTCGTCACTACTCGACAATGTTTTTCTTTTCTTGTCTTCAAATTCTCTCAAAAGCTCCAAGTATTCCTCTGTATATCTTTCCTTGAATTTTGACATCACATCAGAACCTATTAAAAGTGTTTTCTATGAAAATGTAATTTTTCCTCAAAGACATTTCATGTATTCCCCTCCACTACCACCAGATAATCAAAAATTCAAGACATAATGAAGTCAATGGATGTATTGGTATGAATATGTTAATATTCAGTACGTGTATAGTCATTAGCATTTTAAAGTTAACAGTCCTGCTGTAAGAAACTGGGCTATCCGCACAATATTATTCCATCTATTTAGTATCATTATCAGGTTCGTTAGTCAATAGTTAATAGACACAAGACCGGAAAGTAATTTCTGTTTTTGTTAAATTCTTAGAATCTTTCCAATAACTACGATTTTTCTAGGAATGTCACCACAAAACAATGTATAAATCTCAAGTAAGGGAATAAGAAATAACTAGTGAAATTTTACTGATGCTATTCTTCCTAAGAATTATAGAAGAAATCATGTAACAGAGTGATAATGTTTCTTTTTAGATAGATTTATTTACAAAAATCCACCGAAATAATAGAAATATTAAGTTTCTTTCAATATTTTAATTATTTTCATTATTAATCACATTTACACATCAAATACGCAACATACCAACTAGGTCTACTAAGAAGTCCAAAAAGGCTTCATCAACTCTTGTACCACCCCAATGTCCACCACTGGCCTTGTAAAGTTCCTTAAGTTTTCCTCCATGGAGTACTTCATGTACAGTGATATCAACTGTGCCTCCTGTATATATATATCAATAAATGGGCTGTATTAATTTTTGCAGGGACAATCCAACACTTGCATTACTTATGGTCTTTTGAATGATTTAGACACACTAGTGTTGAAGCCGTACCTCTAGACGATTGACAGAAATCATGATCACAACGTAAAAAGGAAATACACACATGCTTTTTCCGGCGAACAACACTTAAAATAGTCAAATCAAGTCAAATAATTTATTTGCAAAAACATATACATGTTCATCGCCAAGTAACAATACAAAGTTCAGAAAAGTAAGATGCATAGTTACATTATAAATTATACATACAAATAATTATTTTTCAGCGTACATTATTTCAAACAAATGTATTAAGTAAAATACAATATATACGATTATTACCAAAAATAGTTTCGAATTTGTAAAAATTACACTTACTGCCATAGTCACGTAGAAGACATTCGGTGATTAACTCAAAATCAGTCGTTAATTGTTTAGGTATAAACACGTAAATTATTTCTTGAATTGTGAATATATCTACTTTCTTAAAATATTAGTACAATTAGTTTCTATGTTAGTTTTCTTGAAATATTATGTCTCATCTGGAGGCATGCAGCTTTCAAAAATGCAAATCAGATTATTCATTCGTACTTAAAAATGAAATAATGTAAAAAAAAGTACTTTCCTCCAGCGTCCAAAACAATGTAGCGTTTTCCGGGTAGAAATGTGGTGAGTGTAGTTTTGTCACTGCTGATCATTTCAATGGATATATGGCGGCAATATAAACTTGCTGCTTCAGGTTCAAGAGCAATACTTAGCTTGTGTGCTGGTATTCCAACCTTGTAAGAATATGCAAAGACCTCTATAAAAATATTACTAGAATACACCCTGAATAATAACGTGACTTACTTCAATTGAATGTCGTGTTTGTCGACTCCAGCCAAGGCCTTCATTGTTACAAAAGGTATATTATGAATTATTTGAATCTAAATAATTGTCAGGTTTTTGCATTAACAACGTTTTGTTAATTGTATTAACCTGCAAACGTTTAAATACTGATATTTCACTTTTCCGCATCAATAGCGAGATGGATGATTTATAAATTGTTTTATTTTTGAGACGGTCTCAAAATAGCTGGGAAGTTCGCAACTTTACTGCGACATCGGTTGAAATCATAGAAAAGTTTTAATCATTTTTAGTACCTCATGGGCAGCTTCTCTCATAAACTGCTTAGCAGCATCATTCCATATCGCCGGTACTGTAAGAACCCAATGTATTTCGTCTGCTTTGATTCCACAGTCAAAAATGCGTTGTTGCATCACGGACATGAGGTCATCTTTCATGTACTGTATTGACAAAGATATGACGGTTTTTGCCGGAAGACTTTTTTTCCCAGTTATATCGTAAATCATCATGTCTCTTCCTAAGCGCTGTAATAGTTGAAATATCAATAAATGTATCTAGTTGGAATATTGGCATTTCTTTCTTGTTACACATGCTCGATTTCAATGCATATACATTTGCATAAGAAAATGCATAATTTGCATTAGAAAAAATGAATTGATAACAATTACAATAATCATTATTATCTTGATGCCTCGACGCATATACAATTGGAATTATAGGTAGACACAATATACCATGCAACTATTTTTAGAAATCATTATAATGTTGATAGGTTATTATTTTTGATGATTAAAGTAAATAAAGTTATGTAAATTAATGTTCAATTGAAATTACTCAGCAATTTATTCTATATTGGACGACATGCAAATCATGCAAGATGAATCACATGTATATGCTAGCTATATTAAATGCTAAATATTGTGTGTCTGTGTCCTGCCGTATTTCATATACATGTTCGTATCAGAACCTGATTTAACTTTGCTTACATATCGCATTGATGGCATTCAAAACTTTTGTTAGCCTCGATCATTCTCTAGCTTTTCGAGAGCGACGTGGGCCTCTCAAGCATACCAAAATAGATATATCATAATGATAACACTTTATAATTTAAATCATTGTTGTAAAAGCAGTTTGTACTTTCGACTGCTTGGCCATCATTCTAACATTGGATTCATCATTAACAGAAGCATCATTGCAAAATATATATTCCACCTGTATAAATTTTCACTATGAAAACTGAATGTGAACTTTGAAAATAAACTTATCAAAAGCATCTGTATATTTAGCAAAACACAGACTTAATGCTTACTTAATTATAGTTACCTGTTGATCATACAACTTCATTTTAAACCTTTCAAAATAGAACCAATGCTCCTGTTCTTCGTCTTGAATAAGGTCAATGTACTTATTTTCCACGTCATAGCCAAAACTATGCAAATGTTCGCCCATCTGGCTCTATTAAAATGGTTGTTGGTCCTGAAAAAATACAAGCATTCTTTAAAATTGTATAATTTTATTTTTTACAAAGACAACCTTTTCAAAGAGTCATCTTGAAGATTAATATCAATATGCGTATCATCGGAGCCTGCAGGTGGCATTTTATATATAGGATGATCACACAAGGTGATGTAAGCCCACTAGTATTACGAAAATTCCTAACAGATTTATGTACTTCAACTGTTTGATTGAAAAACAAACTGGTCTAATGCTCAACTTAATGTTCATAAACACGCAAAGGGAGATCACAAACTCTTTTAAAGAACTTACCTTTATAAGAATATTGCCTACCATTCCAGTTCTTCGTAAATACCCTGGTTGGGTCGCTTTTAAATTCATGTCGAAATGAAAATCCCCAACTGGAATACGTAGTTCCAAAATCAATCGCTGCAACCAGAAGTGTGAGTGATGCTGCCTAAAATAGATTTTAAAAAGAATTTATACATCTGTGGATGTTTCCAAGTTCAAACCATTTCATGTTAAATGTTGAATTATGCTTAAGCCGGTGTAAGTGGACGTTCATAGTAACTTGCACTTTTCAATTCCGTCCATGAACGGACTCTTTCGAACTGAGCTTGCAACATTCAAATATTAATTCACTATAGGTATACCAATTGCTAACACAGGCATAATGGGTCTTTAAACTCCGTCGATTTCTTGGCGAAGTTTTCTTTGAAACGGACTATAATCGACCTGTTATATTAGCTATGGCGCGCGAGGAAGGAGAGGTAAGTAAAGTATGCATTTTCTTAGCGACCATTTAGTGCAGGTTATGGAAAGAAAATAGGATGTACTCTTATTTAGGATAATTATCTTCTCTGATCATAAATAACATTTAGCAAAAATAATTGCAATTTTCTGTTATTAAGAGCGTACATACTGAGTTCGTGCATTGATAATGATATTTTTCAAATGTACGTACAAAAATACTACTTTGTTTACATTTCGCTACCTTTACGACTAATTACCTTATGTTCAGCGCCTCTTTTTTCAGTAGAACATGTAATAAAATACTATCATGCGTTTTATCCATTATTTAAACATTACCAAAAACATGTTTGACAATTTTAAAGAATTAAAACACATGGATTTCTGAGGCATTATGTGCCTTTAATGAGCCAATTACAGTTATTGAATGATGCACTGATTTAGCAGCGAATAATAGAGTAAATCAAGTATTTTTGTGGGCTTTATATGTTAACAATGTTTGGTTGGGTTTAAAGTCGCACCAACACATGCAGTATAGGTCATATGGCGATTTAACGGTTTTACTGGTGGTGCCCCTGTTTACATTATGTCAGTCAGAAACGGTAGACGTTTCGTAAGCCAGCTGGATATCTTTCTGACATGAAGAATCCAAATTCAATGGTGCGGCTGGAACCTACAGCGATGAGAGGCCTAATGAACGTAACCACTCGACCCAGGACGCCGTATATATTAACCACATATACGGCAAGAAATGAAATATTATTTCTATATTCATTGCTGAACGGCGATTCCAAGCATTTTTAGAAATGCAAATACTTTATATTATAAAGTAGATGGTAATAATTATTTGTCCTTCATAGCCGAATGATTTTCTAATTAGTTATTATGGAGGTCATTGCTCTAATCAGATAAACTGGAATATAGTCATATGGCATATACAAACAGTGTCGATGTAAATTAAAATATAAACAAACGGAATGTGATAAAGATAATGTTATTTACTCCTTCGCATTTTTTAAGTACATAGCAATAATGTAAAACGATCGACGTGCTGAAAAATCAATGTTATAACTTGTTAGGTGTCATATTACAAACTATACAAATTGAATATCGGTATTTTATAATCTTAATTTAATGATCTTTAAATCTTGGTGACAATATCATTTTATGTAAAGACATATTCCTATTATTAGAATATTTCTCTCGGGAATATATTGTTGAAAAAGAAGAAAAAATTAATTAGGTCTTTGGGCAGCCATATTAACGTATTACCACCCTAATGGATACTATAAGAAACTGAAATATTGGCAACATAGGTTAGTTATATGCCTTAAAGGACACCTGTATGCAAACTTTTGACAAAATTTACCGTACGGTTTACGAGTTATGTACATCACTGGATACTAGTATTAAAAAAACCTTTAAATTTCCTATTGATAATTATTAAGAAACAAATGATAACAATCAGCCAACAAATGACTGAAGCAAATTGATACTTTCTTTTCAAACATGTTTAAAATATGTTTAAAAATGTAACCTTACACCACCCATTTTAAACACCTTTTTGACCATTTCCTTCTCAGAGAGATTAACACAAAAATCCCTAAAATGTATCCAATTGAGGGGCTTTTTTCAAAATTTGTATAAATTATTTTTTGGAAGTATACTGACTGATCATGTCAGTTTTTAAATCCCTTTACCAAGTAGTTTTAATATTATTAGACTTTGTAAATGAATCTGGCATTATTTACCCTATAATAAATATATAATTAAAATGAAACATTTTTTCTTCTTTCAAAACTGGATCTGAATGAAACACAAAAATGTTAAAAGAAAGAAGGAAAGAAAAAGAAGAAAAAAGTTGACCCTATTGGGGGTTTGAACTCACGACCCTCAGTTTCGATACAGTTGAAAATACATGTAGCCTATCAATGCAGAGGTAATGCATTAAGGATGGTAATACCCTAAATGTTTATTACTACTGGCATGGACTTAATTACATGTGCTACTATAGACCAAAATGAATGAAAGTTAAATTTCGGTTTTGTTTTTGTCAAAAATACATCGTCCATATTTAATCACATCAAATTTAAAGAAGTACTACATCAAAGTTAAAACAACAATAACAAAAACAACAAAATACGCATTTTGCTTAAACCATTCTTACCATGTATTTATCCTAGTCCTTTTAAGGACACTAACAGACGAATACTGATATTAATAATTATTTTAGTACGTTTGTTGCAGGTCAGTTTATACTTCCTCTTTCGATTTTCATTGTTGCAAACGGTCTTAATAAAAGCAAAAATGTGAATTTTGTTTTGACATAAAGAAAAATAAAGCAGGTGCCCGTCAAGGCGTCAATGTCGCATATTATATCAACACACACGCACGCACGCAGACGCATGCATGCATGTATACATACATCACAAACTTATATATTAATTTTTTAAGTTAATAAATTTGTTTTCTTTAAATGAAAATACGAACTTTTTAAAATATGAAGTTATTGTAAAGTAGTGTAAAACAACGGGAGACTAATAGCAAGAAACATTTACGTTTATCGGATGCTATTTTTAAAACTAAGACCAAATACAGTGCACTTTTTTTGCCCTTTAATTTACAAGGCATTTTCAGTCAAATTTGATTATTTTATTAAATAGAGAAACGGACCTAATAAAACGGATTGCTGTGTGCACCTTTCACGTTCAGTCAGCTGTGTTTCAGCACTTATTTAGCTTTTTTTAAAATTATTTACATAAATCTTATATGCATGACCAATCCGTAACAAGTACACGGACGTAGTCATACTTCATGAGCGAACCCCCCCCCCCCCCAAAAAAAGAAAAAACAGGAAAAAACACAACAACAACAAAACAAAAACAACAACAACAACAACAACACACATTACATCTTTTATTGTATATATAAACTTGCTAACATAAGCATAAGATACATTTAATTAAAGATATATGAGCTGCGTCATGACAAAACCAACATAGTGCGTTTGCGACTAGCCTGGATCCAGACCAGCCTGCACATCCGCGCATTCTGATCAGGATCCGTGCTGTTCGCTGTCAGTTTCCCCACTTGTAATAGAGTTGGTAAGCGAACAGCATGGATCCTGATCAGACTGCGCGGATGCGCAGGCTGGTCTGGATCCATGCTGGTCGCAAACCCACTATGTTGGTTTTGTCGTGACGCGGCTCATATCTAATCAACAGATGTAACTATACAGGTGTCATGCCAATAATAAAGTAAATCGTGTGAATCTTATCTAATCGTACAACTACTTGTGTCCATTCAAACTTGAATGTGGTGTCACTCTAAACTTATCTAAATGTACAACAAAGAAATGTAACAAGATTGTGTCAAGTATATAATTCAAAATTTACCAACCAGAACAAGACACGCAACAACAAAAAATCAAAAAAAAATCAATGTTTATTGAAACAAAGAATTAAGAATTAAAAAACGTTCTCTTCTTAGTTAAAATATTGTCGTGCTCAAGGAAAATGCAAAAAAATCTATATAAGTAGGAAAGTGCGCAAAGATATGTTGGCGAAATTGTGCCATTTCGTGTTTCACCCCGCGACCCCGCCAAGCGAAAAGTCGAGAATTAACAAGTTAAAATGGCGGGCGCGGACAATAAATATTTTGCTTCGCTTTCTTTATAGCTAGATAATCACTTTAGAAATCTTGACTTATCTGTCACAAGGAGTAAAAATGCTGTACTGGCAACATATATTCCATGGCAATAAAGTATATATTTAAAATAAATATGCAAGAAGTTTTATTGTTAATATACTTCCAGCTCTACACGACAAATCCAACACAGTAATGTTGGCTCTTACATGTTATTATTTACAACTGCTAGCATAAGTATAGCTGTTGAAACAATGCACGCTATACAATAACTTCCATTTGACGATGATCTAAATAATCCGAAGAATAGACTGGTTTGTATTTCTGGGATCCGTCAAGACATTTAAGTACGTAATTGTCGTCTGCCCGGAGAGCAAATGTTGCTGATTGCCGACGCTTTATAGCTTCTGCCTCAGATACAGGAAAGATAATTTTATGTTTTGGAGCAACAAGTGCATCAGCAGTGAGCATTTGCATCTGCCTACCGACGAAAACAACGATTGTTTGAGGAATGGGGGAAACTGGTATATAACCTAAGTTTGGCGTGTTCATTTCCAGGCCCCCGGCATCATCTTGAAAAAGAAAGGTGACCATCCCATAATCTGTGTGTTCTCCGAGTCGTACCTGACCAGGTTTCACGTCATGCTTGGGAGGAATTGGAGGATACATTAAACTTCTGAGAAATGTTTGGTTGTTTTTAAGACCGAGTTGTTGATATGCTTCTCTTTAAACTTCTCAGTGCCAAACCAAGTGAAATGGAAGAAGAGCGTCTGTCACATTATAGGACAGGTTGCTGCACAATGAATACATGCTTTTACAATTCTGATTAAAATCTGATTGCATGAAGATATTTCTATCGTCTGCAGGGTGATAATTAAAGCTCTCTTTTAGATCGCCTGGAAAATTAGGGTCTGACTTTTCGGATTCCAATCCAATCCAACCAAGCTCGCCTTTCGTTCCACGGAAATGGCGCATTTTACATTGCTCATCTTTCTCGAAAAAGCATTTAGCCGATGCCAGTAAATTGTCGACGAGCTTTGTAGGAATTCCATGATTTTTTGCATAAAAGAATCCGTAACTTTGTAAAGCTTTTTTCATCTCCATTCCTTTCTCAGCCAAAGTATCTTTGTCTATGGCATCTGTGTCATAAAGGGCGCTTATTGGTTTGAAGTCAATGACTGGTACATTCGTATTTGCTTGTTGTGTCATCGTTCTTTTGTTGAGATATTAGAATAGCTAGAAAGGAAAAATGTAGAAAATATATTATAGGTATTGTATTGTTTCATTGTTTTAACTTGTTATCACAACCAACAACATATCAGGTACATGTACAAATGTACAAACATATCAGGAATAAGCACACTACACTCATATAACACCAAAAAAAAAAAGGGGGGGGGGACAAAACAAACAGGCGCACATTAATTTAACTTCTTTTTACAATACAGGATTACATAAATTCTGAAACTTTTTGTATTTAATTAAATGCATTTCATGTACATTGTACATGTTAATTTGAAACTGAAACTTTACACTGAATGTGATTGTATTGTCCTGTTGTCAATTCGAAAATAATTATATATAGAATATTTGAATATACGTTATGAACTGGTTAAGAACAAATGAGCCGCGTCACGACAAAACCAACATAGTGGGTTTGCGACCAGCATGGATCCAGACCAGCCTGCGCATCCGCGCAGTCTGATCAGGATCCATACTGTTCGCTATCAGTTTATCTACTTGTTATAGAGTTGGTAAGCGAACAGCATGGATCCTGATCAGACTGCGCGGATGCGCAGGCTTGTCTGGATCCATGCTGGTCGCAAACCCACTATGTTGTTTTTGTCGTGACACGGCTCAAATGATTATATTTAAAATGTTTGTTGAATATTCAAGCAGGTTGAGTTCGCTGACTTCTAACCAATTGCACCTCACCGTTGTTGGTTTGAATCCCACCACGAAGTTTGTACCTGCTCTTTTGACTAGTTGGCGGAAAGTCGGTAGTTCTAATCATGTGTGTCTACTTCCGCTAGCATATCACTTGAGGCTAAAAATTAAAGATATCAAATGGCATATGTATACTGGTCTCTATAAATATGACAATAATTATTTATAAAGGTCCGATATAGTCTTGTTTATGAATACTTTCTATTAAAAAAAAAAATTACAAAAAAATTAACAAATAAAATGAATTAAATAAATCAATAAATATAAATTAAATAAATGAATAAATATAAATAAAATAAATGATATTAAGAAATGCAAAATATATAAATAAATAAATAGATAAATAAATAAATAATGAATAAATAAATAAATAAATAAATAAATAGAAATAAAAAATAAATAAATAAATAAAAACAACACACACAAAAACAAACAATACTTAAACATACAGAATTTCCTTATCCAAAAACGTCCTTTTTGAACACAGACCAACTGAAATTTGTCTCATTAGCGACAAAATATAAAATATAAAAACAATGCAATTGGATGCATGCAGAGATTTGGATTGTTGCCATAAACGTAGAATGTATTATCTGTCAGAATGTCTGTTGAATTTATTGTAAGTTTTGCTTTGTGCGGCGTAATTTATGCTTAAAGATATACTATACTCAACTTTGATATAAGAAAATATTAATAATTGCTACACAGTCTCTTTTTTAATATAAAATAAACATGTTTTGACTTCACACAAAGTAAATATGTTTAAAATACTACACACTATAGGTGGCCACATTATGAATAGATAGACTCATTAAAAATAAGAAAATGCCAACTTTACTTAAGCTGTATTAGGGAGCACAGCTTCCAATACATAGTTTATTCCTTCTTTTATTCAAATAAGACATATTCAGCATGAATTCCATAGATATCAATAAAATGTGATAATAATATTTTACTCAAGGATGAGCATAGTATTATTTCAAGTTTAGGATTAACGTAATGGTAAGACGTTAATACAGATTAAAATAGACAAAAGCCGAATAGGAATATAAAGACTGTAAAGCTATTTAAACGCTTAATACTTACCATACTTAAGTTTTTGGAAATTTCTGATTGTCTGTTTCCCCGTCAGCAGCGTTAAATTAACGGCCTGGATGAACACACATCTTTAGGATAAATCATCCATTTTAAGATTTGTTTAAGATTATGTCTACAATAGTCTGACCACTACCCAGAAAAGAGAGATTTCGCAAAAGGCTAATGACAAAAATACGAAAAGGTCTGAAAGATGCGGTCCACGGGGGGGGGGGGGGGTTATATAATTTATTAAAATGAGCTTACTTTAGAAATAAAACTAAATTTAGTGTTTACGATACATTGGGATGTGGTGGTGGTGTTGATAGTTTTCACTCCGGGTCACGGCCGTTAATCACATTTACCAGAACACAGTTCAGCCAACGCATCGTTCTTGGGCAAGCTGTCAAGCTCTTAACCAGTACTAGTTGCCTTTACTTTCGCAAGGAACTGATAACTTCTGTACATGCCAGATATGCTGTACAATGCGAGTGACAGTAGAAATTATTTAATGATCAATCTTAACGGAAAGGTTATTTACACCGTCCAGGAGTCGAATCCGGATCGCCCATATCACAGTCCACAGCTCTACATATTGAGCTTACCGGACTGGTCATA